GTTGGTGAATACGATCTGTGTGAGGGGCTTTAGTGGTGATAATGAGCTATGAATGAGGCTGGAGTGGTGGAGATGAGGCGTGTGTGTTACTGGAGTGGTTATAATTAGCTATGAACAGGGCTGGAGTGGTGGAAATGAGGTGTGTGTGGGTGGAGTTGTGGAAATGAGGGGTTTGTGGAGCAGAGTGTTGGTGAATACGATCTGTGTGAGGGCCTGACATTGTGGTAGTGAGCTGTGTGAGTGGCGGAAATGGTGTGACCAAAATGTGCGAGCAATTTGAGTCGGTGCAGGAGTGCTAAGCTCACCTTTTTGATGGGCAGATCCGGGTAAGATATCTGCTACACGCTCCATGAAATCCACCTCGGCGCGTGCACCATTGCACGCAAGTGTGACCACCAATGATGCCTGAGATGATGGTCGCAATCCATGCACTGGGTGGATGTCATATTGCCATAATTCTTCCACATCTGGCCAAGAGACATCCACCCTCACCGGTCCTTCTAGCATTTCCACTGCATCCCCGCCCTCTTCCGGCCCATCCTGACCACGGCCCATGCCTCGACTATGTATGAGCGAAAGCATAACAGGTACATCCACTCTGCCCGCTGCCTCCTCATCATCCCGCTCCTCTAAGTCCCCCACACCTTGACCAGCTGCTTGCACGTTTGTGGCGCTCACGACCTGCTGCAATTCAGGATGTTCCCATTTTGCATCTGCCGGATCCACAAACCGGTACTCAATGCCGAGTTCAGAGCAAATGTCCTCGATCAATTTGTCTTTTCCATTGGACCCACCCACCTTGGCTGGGGCCTTCTTCTGCAACCACCCTCTTAGCTTCACGACCGTATGCATATGCAGGTCCTCTACAACCTTCGCCTTATCAATTTCGACCATTTCCCTCACGCGATTTTGCAAGTCGTTTTCAAAGCTCTTGACCACAGATCGTCTTTTGTGCCACCAATCGTGCTGGTGTCCAATCCCTCTGTCCACGGCCACGTTCCGAAAGGTACTACCCTCATCCGTAACAATACCAGCCACTTCAAAGTCCACATTTTTTAAGAAGTCCATGCCCAAATTGAAGGCAACGCTTTCTAGCCTAGGAGACGACGGATCATTGACATACTTCATCGCAGTCTCTGTGTGCAAAACTTTCCTACTCTCGGGATGCAGAAACGACACGGTGCAATACTCAGCCTCTCGAGCTTGTGAAAATCTGCCATCCGCACTAATGTATCCCACCCCTCCATCCCTCTTACTGAGGGCATCACGCACTGATGCCATAGATTCTTGGGCTGCACGAATGATGGCATTCCACAAACCTTTTTCACCTTGCAACAGTCGGTAAAACGTGCCTTTTCCGGGATTTGGCAGTCCAAGATTGCGACACACTTCCCACATCACTTGAAACCCTAACCCTCCGAGGGCAAACGCACCCACAAACTTTTGCATAAGTTGTATAGACTTTGGCCCCGTCCGCTTCCCATTCTGATCGTTTTCTTTTTTCGGGGTTGTCCATATCTCCGTGCGGCTAGGGCACGTACTACAGTGCCAATAAAGACCTAGAGAAGCCCATGTAGTTTTCCATGACACGAGGGACATGCTCCCGCCGCAGCCTGTTCTTGTGCAACTGATCCGCAGTGGTGCTAAAGCTTCTAGCATGTGTCTTGGCTCCAAGAAACATACCATGTACGGTGACATGTCCGTGACGGTTGGAGCACGTGGCCACCCTCTCGGGATTGGAACTGGAGTATCCTTAAGGGGCCCATCCTGATGAGTATTCCTGGAGGGCCCATAGGCAGGACGCAATGGGAGAATACAAGGCAGGGCACAATGGCACGTGGCACAAGGCAGTGCGCAATGGGAGGGCACAAGGCTGGGCGCAATGGGAGGGCACAAGGCAGGGCGCAATGGGAGGGCACAAGGCTGGGCGCAATGGGAGGGCACAAGGCTGGGCGCAATGGGAGGGCACAAGGCAGGGCGCAATGGGAGGGCAAAAAGATGGGCGCAATGGGAGAGCACAAGGCAGGGCGCAAAGGGAGGGCACAAGGCAGGGCGCAATGGGAGGGCACAAGGCTGGGCGCAATAGGAGGGCACAAGGCTGGGCGCAATGGGAGGGCACAAGGCTGGGCGCAATGGGAGGGCACAAGGCAGGGCGCAATGGGAGGGCAAAAAGATGGGCGCAATGGGAGAGCACAAGGCAGGGCGCAAAGGGAGGGCACAAGGCAGGGCGCAATGGGAGGGCACAAGGCTGGGCGCAATGGGAGGGCAAAAGGATGGGCGCAATGGGAGAGCGCAAGGCAGGGCGCATTGGGAGGGCACAAGGCAGGGCGCAATGGGAGGGCACAAGGCAGGGCGCAATGGCACGTGGCACAATGCATGGCGCAATGGGAGGGCACAAGGCTGGGCGCAATGGGAGGGCACAAGGCGGGGCATATCGGGAGGAGGTGGAGAGGCGGAAGGGAGGGGAAGAGTAGGCGGGTGGAGTTGCCACAATGGGCCAGAATTGAGTGTTATGACACCTGTGCAGGGACATGCTGGGCGTGTTTAGTGACATGCTGGGCGTGTGAAGTGACATGCTGGGCGTGTGTAGTGACATGCTGGGCGTGTGAAGTGACATGCTGGGCGTGTGAAGTGACATGTGTCTGTATTCGTATGAGCTCATGTACGCGTGCGGGCATGTGTGGGTGTGTGAGTGCGCATGCATGCGCGAATGTCATCACTTTCCACCTATTCATTCAATACCACCCCTAGTTTTACGCCTCATTCAACCAATGCTCTCTACGCGCTGTCTCACCTTTGGGCTTCATCTGGTATGCCGGCTGCATGGAGTACCGCGTGCTGTTGGCTGCGTTTAGTGCTAACAATCGTGCATGGATGAGGCTGCAGGCTTGGAGCAACCCCCTCAGGGTCCGCTCCTGTTGATTGGGCAACCTCTGCGCACACGCCATGTATCAGAATCATAAGGGTATACACGCACTTGCATACACACATGAGTATTTGCAGACTCCAGTTCAGTTTCACCTCATAAACAGTACAGCCTTCACTTCCCCCTCCGTCTGATGCATGCGGCATGGTTGTATGTCCAAAATAGCATACTCTTGTGCCATCGCCACGCTGTTGCTCACCTTGTCTCCGCACGCTCTCGAAGGCTTTACCCCTTCGGGCCCCACCCCAACCGTTTCCACGGACAGGGCGTATTTTCCCCTTCTTATCCTCTTTGTAGGGCGGGAAGTTGTAAACCAGTCCCTCGATTGGGATATCAGCCTTCTCCATTATCCCAGTTGCGCCATTAATACCACTGTTTGCCCGTGCATCGAACTGGCGCCCGTATGCCTCAAGGTGAAGCTCTGCCGTCGCCAATGCATCTCCCCCATATGTTCCTGCCACGGAACAACGGTGACACCAAGTATATCCAAACCATTATTGCGGGGCTGCCAGTGCCGTTGTGATGTGCGAAACAATCGGATTGCTCAACTATCACGGACACACAACCGTGCGTGGACATGATCACCAACTTTCCACCCTTACCTGCTTCTTTGGCTGCCCGCATCAGCCGTTTGTACGCTGTAGGGGCGTTCATCATGAAGTAGTAAAGAACATCAGCAGTTGTCGCTTCGGTCTTCCCCCCCATCAATGCCGACAACCCGCATCGCTGAAGGCATATGACTGGCCTCATATGCTTGGATATTCCGTGAACCGCCTTGTCATGCTCGTCGCTAAGAGTCGCTACAGTGGACCCTCCACTCGCAGATGCATCCGTTTTCCTTCCACGCCTGAAGGTTGGGTTTGATGGTGGACACCAAAACAGATGATGAGCCCCAATGGGGAATAACAACTGTGGGAAAGGGGGAGCACTGTGTTGCCTCTCCCACCTTCCCCTCTGCAAGTTTCCTCCCCTCCATTTCGTACAACCCATCCTGCAGCATCTTCCCCCCTCATCACCCGTGTGAGGTGATGCGTGCGCAAATCAACCGTCATAATTGGGGGAAGTGAGCGATTGGATCGGGGGAAGTGGTGGATTGGACGGGGGAAAGTGGGGGGTTGGACGGGCGGGAGTGGTGGAAAGGAAAGGGGAGTGCGGGGAAGGACGAGGTGGAGTGGGGGAAAGGGAGGGTAGGACTGGGGGACAGGGAGGGTGTTTGTAGGGGAAATAGAGTTCGCATACTGGTGTATAAGGGGGTGAGTAAGTGGGGTAGAGAATGAGCAGGGTGTTGAAGGGGGTGAGCAAAGGGGGAAAGAGAGGGCGCAGGGTGTAGGGTGGGGTGAGCAGGGTGTAGAAAGGGGTGAGCAGTGGGGCACAGAGGGTGTGCAGGGTGGAGAAGGGGGTGCGCAACAGGGGAGAGAGAGTGAGCAGGGTGGAGAAGGGGGTGAGAAAAGGGTGAAGCGAGTGAGCAAGTGGAGAAGGGGATGAGCAAAGGGGGAAAGAGAGGGCGCAGGGTGTAGGGTGGGGTGAGCAGGGTGTAGAAAGGGGTGAGCAGTGGGGCACAGAGGGTGTGCAGGGTGGAGAAGGGGGTGCGCAACAGGGGAGAGAGAGTGAGCAGGGTGGAGAAGGGGGTGAGAAAAGGGTGAAGCGAGTGAGCAAGTGGAGAAGGGGATGAGCAAAGGGGGAAAGAGAGGGCGCAGGGTGTAGGGTGGGGTGAGCAGGGTGTAGAAAGGGGTGAGCAGTGGGGCACAGAGGGTGTGCAGGGTGGAGAAGGGGTTGCGCAACAGGGGAGAGAGAGTGAGCAGGGTGGAGAAGGGGGTGAGAAAAGGGTGAAGCGAGTGAGCAAGTGGAGAAGGGGATGAGCAAAGGGGGAAAGAGAGGGCGCAGGGTGTAGGGTGGGGTGAGCAGGGTGTAGAAAGGGGTGAGCAGTGGGGCACAGAGGTTGTGCATGGTGGAGAAGGGGGTGCGCAACAGGGGAGAGAGAGTGAGCAGGGTGGAGAAGGGGGTGAGAAAAGGGTGAAGCGAGTGAGCAGGCGGAGAAGGGGGTGAGGTAAGGGGGAACACAAGAAAGCATGGGTTAATGTGGTGGAAATATACCACACAGGGAGAAAGGGAGTGAGAAGAGGTGAAGAGTGTGTTCTCGGGGCAAGGGAGTGAGCAGGGGATTGTAGGGGCGTGCAAAGGGGGAAGTGGACCACACAGGGGGAAAGGGGGTAGTTGAGGTGACGGGAGGGGGAAGTGGAGGCGACGGGATGGGGAAGCGGAGGCGACGGGAGGGGGAAGTGGAGGAGACGGGAGGCGGAAGTGGAGGAGACGGGGTGGAAAAGGGAAGGCGATGGGAGGGAAGAGTGGATGCGATGGGAGGGGGAAGTGGATGCGACGGGAGGGGGAAATTCTTGCGGCGGGAAGGGAACAGCAAGGCGACGGGAGGGGGAAGTGGACTAGACGGGAGGGGGTAGTTGAGGTGACGGCAGGGGGATGTGGATGAGACGGGAAGGAAAAGGGAAGGCGATGGGAGGGGGAAGTGGTGGCGTTGTGATGGGGGAAGTGGAGGCGACGGGAGGGGGGAATGGAGGCGACGGGAGGGGGAAGTTGAGGTGACGGGAGGGGGAAGTGGATGCGACGGGAGGGGGGAGTGGAGGCGACGGGAGGGGGAAGTGGAGGAGACGGGAGGGGGAAGTGGAGGCGAGTGTGCTTGGAAAAGGGAAGGCGATGGGAGGGGGAAGTGGAGGCGACGGGAGGGGGGAGTGGAGGCGACTGGAGGGGGGTGTGGAAGCGACGGGAGGGGGAAGTGGAGGCGACGGGAGGGGGATGTGGAGGCGACGGGAAGGAAAATTGAAGGCGATGGGAAGGGGAAGTGGAGGCGATAGGAGGGGGAGTGGAGGCGATGGGAGGGGGAAGTTGAGGTGATGGGAGGGGGAAGTGGAGGCGACGGGAGGGGGAAGTGAAGCCGCGCGGGATGGTGAATTGAGAAAGGTGAAGTGGCGTCACTATCTATTGAGCGGAAGTGTAGTCTCATATGAGGTTCTAAGCGCTGGAATTCGGTGTTTGATATTTAGCCGCAGTCCGATGCTTTCAGAATGCGCCGACGTTCGTGCCGTGTCTACGGCTTTTTCGTACCTTCGGGAAGCACCCTTTCCAGGTCGACGGCCCGCCATATTCCCTATCAAGCCGTCGCGAATGCGGTGTTTCTGTTTGTTGATGACGGTCGTATGACGTTTTATCTCTCTGGAGTGTACCTTTATGGCTGTCGTAATGCTAAGAATTTGACTGAGCAAGTGTGCTTGCTCGTGCCGCCTACTATAGTTGGCCGCTATATGCAGTCAAGAACTAGCGGGCCTAATGGTTGGTGGTCGAAAGCGCAGGTCGTGGTGTTGTGTGTGACAGCTGTGGCAGCACGCGCCAGTGCCAACTTATCAGCTTCAACTGAAGAGAGGCTTCTGGAGGGAGGGTTTTCCTTACCAGCAGGGAGCGGGCCACCTGACACCAGAGATTCGGCCCCTAACAGTAAGCATTTCGTTTCGTTGCATTCAATCGTTTCAGCTGCAGCTGTGGCAGCACGCGCCACCTCATCAGCTTCAGGTTGAACGACGCTGCCTCGAAAGTAGATATTGGCATGCAAGCCAAGCCAGTACCAAGAGGAAAAGGCCTTACCAGCAGGGAGCGAGCAACTTGGCAACCAAGGGTGCCAGCCCCTAGAAGCAAGCATTTCGTTGAGTTCAATCGTTCCAGCTGCAGCTGTGGCAGCACGCGCCACCTCATCAGCTTCAAGTTGAGCGATGCTGCCTCGTCTGCCAGCCTGGCAGGGTCCATCAGCGGTGCCAGGTCAGCACACCACGCCCCGGTTCGCCCTTTAACGTTCAGCTCCCAGCCAGTGGCGGATGGACACGTGGCAGGTGCTGTGAGAGGGTTCAGCCAATCAGCTGCGAGGACGTAGCGAGGGAGAGGACTGTTCAAGATAGTGGCACCAGTGAAAAGAGGACAGGGCAAATGAAAAAAAGCTGAACTTGTCAAATAAGGAAAAACATGAGACCAAGGGAGGTGGTTTCTCCACTATCCTGGGGGAGGTGGCATCTGGACGAGCCTGGGGGAGGTGGCATCACCTGCCTGGGGAAGGTGGCATCACTTGCCTGGGCCTGGGGGAGGTGGTATATGGACGTGCAGCAGTAGCGAGTGGTGCAGGCTGATCCGACCGTGCCGCTGCCTCAGGCAGAGCACATGGAGGGAGGAGGCCTGGGCGGAATAGAAAGGGACAAGACAAGGGAGGGGCGGGGAGGGTGGCGATGGAGGAGCGGAGGGGGAGAAGGAGGGAAAGCAAGAGAAACAGAGGAACAAACACTGACCTGCCATTGGAGAGAGGCGAGGAGGAGGAAGATGCACAGAGGCTAGCCGGGGGAGAGGGACAGATGGCAGGTGTAAAATGCAACGAGGAGGAGAGACGGAATTGGAGGAGGAACATAGGAGCGCAAGCACTGACCTGCCAGCAAAGAGAGGCGAGGAGAAGCAGGTTGCGCAGGGGCCAGCCGAGGGAGAGGGGCAGATGGCAGGGGTCTAAGAATGCAACGAGAAGCCGCGGAGGAGAGGAGGGGGAAGAGGAGGAGGAGGATTCGTTTTGAGTTGCCAGCCGCTTGTACTCTGTTAACGGATGTGTTGTTACTGAAGGCTGTGCTGCTATTGAGGGCTGTGAGGAGTTGCTGGTCGTGGTGGTTGTGGTGTCGATTTGGAGAAGGAAGAAAGGCGAGCACCTCTCCAAAAGTGGTGCTTCCGACACAGTTTCTCCTTCCGTGGCTGCTGCTGCTGCTGCAACACTGTCGGCTGCTCCCACGCCTCCCCTTCTGTTGTCATCGGCTTTCTCTCCTTGCCTTCCCTCCTCCACTTCCCCATTCTCCACTGCTTCGCCTTCCGTAGCTGCCCTCTCGTCTCCCTTCTCCTCCTCTCCCTCGGGACCTACAGCTTCGCCACTCAACGCAGCTGCTTCCACTTCCCTTGTCCCCCTCCCACTCCCTTCTTGTCTTGCACTCCTTCTCAATAGCTTCTGCCTGCATGGTAGGAGGAACGGGAGGGATTGACAGAGGAGGGTGAAGGATGAGGGGCAAATGGTTACCTCCTTCGTCCCCTATTGCACTACTTCCTTCGTTTAGGAAGCATCCACCATTTGGAGGATATGAAAGAAAGTGAGTGATGCAAGAAAGGGAGTTAGAGGATAGGAGCACTCACTAGTTGGGGAGAGAAGACTTGCGTTGCAGGCAGAGGGGGAGAGGCGAGGGTGGCAGGTGAGGGGAGGGCGAGGGTGGGGAAGGCAAAGGCGTAGTGGAAGCGCCAATGCTTGATGTCCGAATAGACGAGGAGGAAGAACGCGTTGAGGAGGGATGGGTGGCGCTCTGCCTTGCCGGATAGAAGGTCCTGCCACAACTGAGGGGAGGAGGGCAGAGGGGAAGGAGGCACAGAGAGAGGAGTGGAAACGCCAGTGCTTGATGTCCGGGTACACGAGGAGGAGGAATGCGTTGAGGAGAGATGGTGGCGGTCTGCCTTGCCAGATAGCGTGTCCTGGCCAGAGCTGAGGGCGTTGGGGGAGGAAAGCACGGGAGAGGGGAGAGGGAAGTGGGAAGAGGGGAAAAGGAGTGGGAAGGCAAAGGCGTAGTGATGGATGGTTGGCGCCCTGCCTTGCCGGATAGCATGTCGTGCCAGAGCTGAGGGGAGGTGAGGGGTAGAGGGGGTGAGAGAGGGGAAACGAGGCAGAGAAAATGAGGGGAATTCACAAAACAGCAAAAAGGATTGTAGAACGGAGGTGGTAGGAGGACGCGCGAAAAGGACTGAGAGGGATGGGTTATAAGTCGATAGGAGAACAATGAGGACGAAACTCAGGTAGGGCTTTGAAAGAGATTCACTGGTTTGCAAGATGATTTTGCCTTTCGCTCCCTCCCACGATGGTAAATTAACTGTTAACCACACACAATGTCAATCCACACATTCCCATCCTCACTTGCTGCGCCACTCCCTCCATCATCGTCCGTCGGTCAAACGCCCGAAAAGACTCCACTGTATTGGCAATCTGTAGCACCCCTGCCACGACGCTCCTGCCATCACTGGTAACCACACTCCTGCTCTCATTGCTGCTGCTGCTTGCAACATCTGTGTTGCTTGCGCTAGTGATGTGACCGGTGCTACTGACAGCGCTGCTGCTGCTGCTGTTGCCAGCAGTGGCAATGACGTCAGAAGCAGCAGCTAACTCGGCAGTGGTGGTGACGTCAGCAGTGGTGCTGTCCGTAGTATTGGTGGTATCATCCAGTTGGATGAGGTGGAACCGAGGAGGTGGGGGAGGGGAAGGGGGGAAGGAGGCAGAGGAGAGGGAGAGGAAGGAGGGGAGCTGAGAGTGTGAGGATGGCGTGAAGAAACCTTTGAGGGAGGGAGGAAAAAGATTGGGAGAAAATAACACAGGTTGAAGAGGCGACATAAGGGGACCGCAGAAGAATACATGAAGGATGAAGGCATACGCCACTGACAACACGGAACATATAGAGTGAACCGACTTTCTTACTGGTCCAAAATCAGCTACAAATTCCTCCTCCCCTGCTGTGACGAACATCCGTTAATACCATTAATAAGATGTAACGATTCAGCAAAAATTGTCAATATCTTGCAACTCAAATAAAATCTTCAGCCAGCGACATGCAGCCTACCATGGATTGCCACGTCTTCCTCTTTCAGGCCTTGCGAATCGACCTTCAGCGACGCGAGCTTCTCCCAGAACGACACGTCAACGGAGCTCTGCCACGTGGCGAACTGCAGGATGGATGACGTGGCCTCATCCGCCATTCTACGTTCTTACGTACTCCTACAATCAAATTGATACCAGAATCTACCTATGATGAGCCGTACGCAGCCTAGACGTGACCACAGAATGTACAAATTGGAGAAAAAAGTACAGTATAATATCGTACACAAAACAGTATAGCCTAGGAGTGACCGCCTATTTTACTAACTATTGTGAAGATCAATATTCTGTACAGTAGGTGCCGGAGAACTTCGAATGGTTGCGCCGTGAGCAGGAAGCCAAGCCCACAACGGACGACGGATAACAGTAATTTTCAAGCGAACAATTAGCTCACTGAAGAGCATACCAGCCAAAAAAGGAGCGGAAGAATTCGATTAAGCCGCGTTCGTAATCGCTCATCCGGTAATCTCGTGTCGTTCGGCATGAAAAGATTTGCCCAATCATCTCGGATTCCCGTTCTTCAAATAACCCCGCAAAGTCACTCAATACGTATTCTACACGGTCTCGAGCTGAAACTAGGCTGAACCCGACATTGTGAACGGATTTTTATATCACCCGACGAATTTTCAGGTAGTGTTACAGTGACTCCGCGAATTCGTCTGTCGCAAGCTCCAGAACGTGTAACAAGAACAGAGTACAAGTACAATTATTTGAAAGCGTGCTAACATAAACTCAGTTTTATTGTAAATGGTGGGCATTGTAGACCATGACTGTGCTTATAAGAAAAGTGCAGACAATACAATAGATCACCCCGATCACTCGTGGGACATGACCAAGTCCCATCACCATAGCCATCCATCATCATCACAGCTCGTAAGGCATTATTCATCTAGTTTTTTTGTGAAGCGTACAGCCATATGCACCAGCAGACAAGTACATGAGGCACATAGCAAAAGAAAATCAGACACAAAGTGGTCCCTGCGATTTCCTGCATCATGTGCAGGCCCTACGATATCAGGAATTTTCCCCTGAAATTCCTGATTTTCAGGGATTTTTTTTGTACCTACCCTGGTTTTCCAGTGTTCAGTTTTTTGTGGGACTGATTTTTCAGCCTTTTCCTAGCAGATGACTCTGAAATTTCAGGTTTTTTTTTTAAGGACCCTGATTCCACTACGTTGTACCGAAACTGACACTGAATGCGATTCCTACAAGTTCCAAGTATAGTTGCCCGGAAGTACAGGGAATCTCGGATTCCCGCGGTGTCAGCACTGCCTGGCGGTGACTACGAGACAAAATTGCTCCGT